ATGTAAAGGGCTGGAATGAGGAGGAGGTCAGTTTTGAGTCTCAGAAGTGGGGACTGTGTCCGTCGCTACGACAGCAGGAGAGAAAGAGACGAAGTCATTTATTTTTTCGTGACGCATTCCAACACACACATGAGGGATGAGTTCAGTGAATATACAAAAATAGAAAGGGGCGTAAGACAAGGATGTGTCTTCTCTCCAGACCTATTCAACCTATACAGCGAGACAGTTCTGAGAGAATTGGAAACCCTACCAGGATTCAATATTGGCGGCCACAATCTTAACATAAGATACGTAGATGACACAGTACTGATAACAGACACGGAAGAGAAATTACAAAATCTCTGACAGAAGGTAGCGAAGGAGAGCGAGAAGAAGGGACTAAGTATAAGATACAAGAAGACAGAATGCATGGTCATCAGTAAAAAGATGAGCCCGAAATACGATTTGCAGGTCGTGGACACTAAAATCAAGCGGGTGCAGGTGGGAAGTGTTTTGACAGAGGACGGTAAATGCGACACTGAGAGACGTAGACGTATTGGGATAGCCAAGGACACATTCCAAAGGCTGGTGAAAGTACTGCGAGACGGAGGAATTCTTTTGGTAACAAAGAAAAGAGTATTGAGCTGTTACGTGACATCTGTCCTTTACGGTAGTGAATGTTGGATGGTCTTCTCAAAGATGAAGAAGAGACTCGAGGCAACGAAAGTATGGATCTACAGAAGGATGCTAAAAATATCATGGACCGAACGTGTGAGCAACGACGAGGTTTTGGAGAGGATGCAAACAAGGAGAAAATTTATACTCAACATCAGGAAGTGGCAGCTGAAGTTTCTGAGACACGTAATGAGAAAGGAGGGCCTGGAAAATCTGATACTCACAGGTCAAATAGAAGGAAAGAGAGACAAGGAAAGTAACGCATGACATATCTGGGGGACTTAAGCATGTGGATAACAGAACGTGGTCTGGGGGAGGTGGCAGAAAGACGAAACTTATTGAGAAGCCACAAGAGATAAAGGGAGTGGAGAGCCATGATCGCCTACGTCCTGAAATGACACGACACATAAAAGAAGTGGGTGTTATTTGCTAATTTTGCATTATTTGATATGAAGGGAATCCAGCAGCCGTAGATGCCTAGTACTTTTGTTCAGGCTCTAACTTAGTACAACTGGTAAATCTAATGTTTTTCAACCAATTGGCAAATTTCTCTGACATTGTATTTAATGCTCTGATTATAATAAGCACAATCTCTACCTTTAAGCAATTCCATATTCTCTCGATTTCGAAATTATTATTATTATTATTATCATAGCAGGTACTTATCTGAAACCTGAAAATATTAAAAATGATGACCGCACCCCGTGCTATAATACTTGCTGGCCATACACAGCTTTCCGTTTTGAATCCGAGTGTCGTCATGGTTACTGCTATTGCAAAGGCAGTGGATATAACAATTTGACTTGTTTACGTAAGTTGATTTTTTTGTTTGTTTTTATTTTGGGTTTACACTCAAAAGAATTGGGTAAAGATTGTAATTAGGAAAAAATTAAACTAGTTTTTTAGGAGTTTATTTAGGTACCTTAATGAGATCGCTAAAAAAGAGTATAACATTACGAAAAAGACGCCAAACTTAACGAAAACAAAACTTTATCATCTCAATGTTTATGTTATTATTAAGAGGAAAGATCAAAGTATTTGGGGGGGGGTATTTTTTTACATTTTTTAATCGTTCCTAGCACGTCCAAAATTTTCGTTAAAAATTTTGTTTTTTTTAGTCAGCAAAATTGACAGATAATCGATCATGTCAGCCATTTTTTCCAATTTATAAAAAAAATGAAAATCTCACTTTGAAATTCTTTTAAAAATCAATTATAATTTTTTCAAAACTTATTTTAAGAAAATCAGAAATAATAATGTTTATTTAAAATATTTTGAACCAAGCTTAACTTAGTTTCCGCGCCGAAAAGACGCAGTTTGAAAATAAAACAAAGCAGGTCATAACCTTTCGCGTCACTTGACAAGGTGACGAAAGACATTCATGACGTTTTGATAGCTTACGTGAGGATAATTCCTTCTACGGAAGGAGAGATGTGAAGTTATTTAGATTTAAGTGAACAAATTATTTACCTCGTTATTTTTAAGGAAAACTTTCTGCGCTCTAATTTTTTTTATTTTTTTGTACTTAGCTTTCACCTTTACATTAACGATGCTTTATGGAAAATATAAAGAAATTAAAATAAGACTGTTGAGAGTGAGATTAAATTTCATAAGAAGGTATCGAATTAAGTTATAGGTACCTTTCTTGTGAAATTTTACATAAAATACAAACTTAAATTTCATAAGATGATACTGATACTTGTAGGTACCCTTCTCGGTTGAAATTGAAAAATCAAATTAACTTTTCCACACGAGTTTCGCAAAAATAAATCTATATGTCAAAAGGACATTTACGAAAGTGAATGCGGCTTTTAACTAATTTTATATTTTAGCAACTTAAATGTAAAAATCTATTATAATTAAAGAAATAACAAATAATTGTATCAAAAATTCAGTATTTAAGTTAAATACTAGACAGAAAATCAATCCACGTGACGTTTTTTTTTTTATCGCACGCATGATACTTCCGGTTTTCCGTAGTGTTATTATTGACACAAATTATATTTTTTTATATACTGTTGTTCATTAGTTTGTAAGAAGCTTTGGAAATTATAATCTGTAAATTTTAATAACAACATTCGTTAAATTTGACAAACTTTTCCCTAATTTTAGAAGAATTAACAACATAATGTAAAAATAATAAATATTTCCGAAATAACAAATAATTGTTTTAAAAATTCATTTTTCATCGAAATATCTTTTTGCTTTCAGACAATATTGTCCATGTTCATTAAAATAAATAAAAGCAATTAAAAGCTTTTGAAATTAAATAATATTTTTGTTTTATTGAGTTTTGTATGTTACAATTCAGAGGTGATTTTCAGGTAGAGGTGGTCCAACTAAAAAAAAAAAAAAACATGATTTGGTTTCCTCAAAGCTTTGTGCTTTTAACTAATATAACCTTCCCAAAATTGAAATTATAGAGTTTTCGTACAATTAGTTGGGGGGGGGTAATACATATGAAAAAAAAATTGCCATGACTTTAAAAAAGAAAAACATATTTATAATAAGTTCCATCATTTGTGAATAGTTTCTGAAAGTTTCATTAAAATCTGACAATTTATTTTTATTTTTACAAGATTTTCAAAATGAATGTCTGTCATACAGAAAAAAAAAATGCTGAAATTTTCTGTTATTTTACTAGTTCCGGTGAGACAAAGAGAAACAAGGTTTTTTTTAATCAAAATTTAGAATGATCTAAATAAGAAAAATTTTAAAAAATAATTTAAAAAATACTTTGATCTTTCCTCTCAATAATAACAAACAGACGCTAAAATTTTGTTTTCGTCAAGTTTGGCGTCTTTTTTCATCATGCTATGCTCTGTTTTTAGCGATCTTATTAAGGTACCTAAAAAAATTTCAACATTCTGCCTGTTTTGAGAAAAAAGAAAACAATTCAGTAAAATGTACATGTTAAGAAAAAATAACGAAAGGCTGGCTTTATTTCGATGTTTCATTATTTCGTAGTAAGTAACTTGAAGCAAATTTAAATTCAAATTTACTTATTTTATTTGTAAAAAAAACTCCATTCAGACAAAAATCTTTTAATTCAAAACATTCAAACGAGAAATCGGGATTAGTTGTTCTCGTTTTAAAGAAACGACTTTATAGCTTTATTGAACAATCAGAACGCTTTTAACACTTTAAACGTCTTATCCGATCCTACAAACCCTTATATAAGGAACGAGTCCCATCAGTTTTATCAGTGGGGTTCATCGCTAACCGAACACAGACCACTCAGTCAAACAGAGCCTACTCTTCACCGACCCGCATATATATATATATATATATATATATATATATATATATATATATACACGTACCTCTAAAGAAAACCGATACCCAAGATTAAAAAATGCATTTTTAAAAATGAAAAACCTTTCTTGAAGCTTTGATTCTAATTTTAATTTTAAGCTAATAGATGAAATTTAATATTTTCAAGCAAATACATTGCTGTATTTCAAACCGAATTTATTGTCAGCGAAAAAAACGCTGAAATCCTTCATTAACACAACTAATTCTCATTATTAAAACTTTTTTTTCAGAAATTAAATATACTTTTCTGAAATTTTATTTGAGGAAGATTAGGTAATTTAAAGTTAATTAATCTGTTTTAAAAATATTACTTTTATTTTATTACTTTTGTTTAAAATATACGTGCCTGTGTGTTTTCAATATGTACGCATATGTTTTTTTTTACTACTTGCAGCTATATTTGGTGATTGTATCATCAGTAAAAATCCTAGCAATGTTGATGCCTTTTTCCGGGGTATAAACCAGACAACATTTGGCTGCTACACTTCACCGAATTCTAAGCGAGAAAATCAAAGTCAAGTCTACGTAATAAGTGTAATGAACGAAAACCGATCTCACCATACACTTACAGTCAATGTGACCATGCCGCTGTCAGCGGGTTCGTCGCATGTCAAGCTGGTTTTAGCATCATATTTCCCTGTCCATTGGTCAGTGGTAACCAATTCAAGATTAAAAATGGACTCTATAATACAGGTAAAGAAGTCTTTATGAATAATTATTATTATGGATTTGATTTTCATTTTTTTCTTCTTTCAAATTGTCTGTACCACTGTCCTGTGATTAATTCGTTTTCCACGGTTTATCAGCTGTTTGCAGGTTATTTAAAGCCAGAAAATATTTTTAGATCGTAATTTTTTATGGTGGGAGTGCAGGAAATAATGATTTAGTCATAAGTCTTACTAATTAACCCATACTTGGGGCGAAAAGAGGTGGATTCATACCTTATTTGCGCGTAAGTGAATCTAAAGAACCCAACGGGAATTGGAACTCGGCTCTCCAATTTACAATTCCGAACCATTATCCATCCAAGCTTTCAGCACCTGGTATTCCCAAGTATTCACCCATCTAGGTACTGACTAGGCTCAACGTTGCTTAACTTCGATGCTCGTACGGAAATCGGTGTTTTAACTTGATGTAGCAATAAGCCAGTTGGAATACAAAGAATATTTATCAGATGTATGATGAATTAGAAAACAAAACAAAGAAAAAGCATCCTACATTTTGCTCATGATTTTACACCGCAGAAAGGGCAGAAGTCGAAACGTTATTGTTACTATACAACAGGCACCTCCAAAGATTTACTAAAAAATGAGTATACATTATGAAAAATGCCCCAAACTTAATAAAAACAAAGTTTTATCGTCATAATCGTTGTTCTTATTGCGAGCAAAGACGAAAGGAACTTTTTAAATTTTTTAATCCTTTTTAGAACCTTTGACATTTTGGCTAATTTTTTTTTGTTAAGTATGGCAACATTTTCAGGAGAAAAACAAATTAAGGTCCTGGTGGGAACGTTCACAATTGGCCGTTGCCGGAGATCGCTTCATAGACCGTCGATTTTAATTAATATAAAATTTATTGTAACTTGACACTGACGTATGTTTTTGGTATCGATTTCTAGTATGTTCCAGACTGAAACCTTTCATTGTTCAGTTGCGATTCAGACTTTGTTGAATGTTGTCGTTTGGTCCACAAGACTCAATGGTTGAAAGAAGGTGGATGAAAAAAATTGCACTTTTGCCACTCGCCACAAAATTTGAATTGAATTTTGGAAATGAATAAGCGTCCGAACTGCGAAAAAAAAAAAACCCCAAAAAACACACACACACACACACACATTCAGAATGTTTCTGCGGATCACGCTCCAGTTTAACGGACAGTCAAAAAGTGGTTTGACAGATTTCGTCAGGGTGATTTTTTTTTCTTAAGGTATCTCGTACTATCCTTTCTCGCTTGTTAAAATCAATTTTCGGCTTTTTTCAAATGTCAGTCGTATTTGGGAACGTTCTAGGAAGTTAGATTGAATTAAATTGATTTCTTTTTACAAGGTCCATATTTACACATAAATTTTTTCCCATTCATTCTGGTAGTAATCCCAAAGTTCTGAGATTGCATCGTTGAACACCTTCATGCTGAAAATCTTTTCTCTCTTCATAATCTGGCAGAATAGACTGTATTAAACCAATATAGTTTTTGCTATTTAAATTTCCATCAACTTTTATAAATTTTCTTCTACCATTGCTTTTGATGCAATTCCACAATATTGTGTCTACCACCAAATTTGACCACATACACCATTTTCTCTTGTCACAACTTGGTGCAATTCATGTATATATCAATTATCACATTACAAACAACCAAGATACTACTAACAGCATAAGATATTAGTAGATATAACCAGAATATTGTATTGCACTCACTGCAAGACTCAAAATACTAGAAGCTATACAAAAAACCCAACCCTAATTAAATATCTTTCACCAAACAAGATGGTATTTTAAGATGTGTATAAAATATGTAATATATTTACAAAATAATAATAATACATATATTTGATACATTATTTTCCAATGAATTCTCACTCCATATAACCATTTACATATGAGATAATATAAACAACACATATATTTGGATTAATTTGAATTTCATGTTTTTTGTATCAGTTTACTTTTTTTTTTATTTGGCAAGGAATCATTGTAAATAATGATTTGTAATTTTTTTTTTAACTACAATATTTGCCAATAACAAAATATATCAACACAGAGTAAAGCCTTTTCTGAAGCCATTAGTGCTAAGTAAACAGCCCAAATTTAAATTAATATCATCAAATTTTGGTGCCGATTTTAACTTAAAATTGATTCATAGTTTTAATATTCTATTTTCTTTTCTTTATAAAAACAGATAAGCACTGTCCGTGCTCACCAAGGACGTCTCAGTATCAATGGGAAAAACTTGACAGAGGAGAGTGAGCCTTATATTCACCAACGGTCACTTGTAGGTTATGGAGATGACAGAGACAGTGGCCATACCATTCGTCTTCTTGAAACTGTCCAGAGGATAGCAGGATACTTCACCAGCTTTAGTGGGGCAAAACAAGCCGACAAATGGCAACTGACAATTCGACCAGAAATGACAATGCAAGCTTTCGGGCAACTGTCAAATTTTTCTATAACAGTGAACACCACTAAAACTTCCACAGACTCATTCACTAACACAAATATGGCATCAGGACGATGATAAACAAAGACAGATGCTAAATCGGTTTTAAGATTCTGTGCAGCCATGAATGACACAGTGAAGTGATTCTAATAAACATATTTCATGCAATCAATATTTCATAAACATAAAACTAAGATGAAATGTTCATCCATTTTTTTTTGTATTCTATTATAATATCTCCACTATAAAATTTATCATCATGTAATAAAAAGAATTTTCTTTTGACAATCCAAATGATCTTAGAATGATACAGAAAAATTAAATGATTTACTTCTGAAGAGGTCTGGCAGATATAGTGCCACCATACATTGTTTTTTTTAAATTTATACTTGATTGATGTGAATTTTACAACCTCCTCTTAAAGTAATTTCCTGATGATTTCTGGCATCCATTTCTTAACAAAATTATGCCAAATTTTGGTGATGTAATCCTTATCAATTTCACAAAATCATGTGATCTCAAATTTTATGTTCAAAATCCTAAGTCTGTTGCCTAATATTTCAACTCAAACTTATTTTGCATCTGCTTTCCTGAACTCACTCTTACAATGCATGACAAGAAAACCACATTTGAAAAGAATATTGGCTTAGGAATTTAGGAAATACCTGATTTTTGAAAATAACAAACTTCATCAAGAGATGCACTTGATGTTAGCTTCACCTACTTTAAGGATAAAATTGAAATTAAAGAAAATGTTTAAACATTTTTTTTTTTAAATTAATTTTTGGTATTTTTTTCCTGTAAATCGAATGGCACATACATACATCTTGATTTTGATTCTGAACTTTATAAATCATTACCTATAGGAATTAGAAAATTTTGTATAAGATTTAATGTATATTTAATATTTTTTTTCTAATTCTATTAATATGCATTCTTTACCTTGTAAAAATACTGTCAAATTACCCAGGGTAGTATTTTGATGGTAATTATTTCTTGAGTTTTGTTTTTTACTCTTTCACTTCTTTTCTCATTTGAGTTACTTATTTCTTTGTACCTTTCATCTTTTAAATCAAATTTGTCTGATTGAAATTGAGACTACTAATATCTATCAATAAATAGAGATGAAAACAAAAACAATATTAGACTGTGTAAAAGATGCATATATTATGTGGGTAAGAAATATGTATACATAAATAATAAACAGTCACTTGTATATAACTGTAAGAAATAAAGACAGGCCAATTAAAAGTTTGTAGACAAAGTAAGCTATATTTGATTTTAAAGGTTCAAGTCTAGATCCTATTTGAGAAGATTTCATTATAGTGGGAATTGGATGAAGATTTCTTCAAGTTTAGAAATGAAACTTGAACTTTGAAAGTAAAAGCTAAAATGCACCCAATTACAACAATAATTAGCACTAATGAACAATTTCTAAAATGTTACCTCCTTGTTGCTTGGAAAAATGTGTATTCTTTATTTTCTGCAACTATTTTTAGAATATCCCATTCTTTGTAGGGTTGACAGGAATAAGTTCAGTTAAAAAAAAAAAATTACTTCTGAATATTCTGTAGGTATCTTTTAACACTTGAGAAAGCAGGTGTTCTCTGTGATGGCTCTTCTACTTGGAGCAGGTGTGTAAGTAAACATTTACATATGACCACAGATTACCTTTTTATTAAAGGTCTTAAAATTCACAAAAAGTGTCAAACCAAACCAAATAAAAAATTTGTGGCACTTTAATATCAATCAGCCAATTTATTTTTCAAACCTGTAAAAATAAAAAGATTATTTTCTACTTGATAAACCACAGAAAAAATTAATTTCATGTCATATGCAAAATATTTTTTTTCTTTTAAAACATTGACCAATATTTGGTTTTGATAGGAGAGTCACTTGTACAGTACATGGATTTTATGCATGGTAGAAAAACAAATAAATACAAATTTGTCTTTTGTTCATTGAAATATTTTGTCTCTTTCTTAGTGTCTCCTTTTCTCTTGATTTTTAATCATGAGTGTTCTTTTCTTATTCCTCCACTTTTCTTAAGAAACAAAACAAACAAACGTATCTTACATCTGATCAATGGCTTTTTAACCTTTAGCTCTCTACCTTATTAATATTACTTCCTTTTCCACTCCATTCTTTTTCAAGGACTCTCAGTTGTAGTATCCTTATTGTTAGTTTTACTCAAAGATGTTTCCTGCTGCCATAGCAGGATATGATAACACAACTATGAAATTCAAATACACTATTGTTCAGGGATTAGAGTCACCTTCAATGACAAGATAAACTTTCGTACAGAAAACGAAGTCACATACAGAGTGATAATGGTTAAAAACTAAGCAAAGCATATAAAGTGAGGATAGGCTGTAATAAAAAAAATTAAATATATCATATTTTGAGGACATATTTTCAGCTGAAATGAGTTTTGAACTTAAGAAAAACAAATGTTGGCTACTACAAACATAACTGGAACTTCATTCATCTTTCTAATTTGGTCAAATTCAAAATAACTTTTTGTGCAGTTAAAAGTTTATAAAATTCCCATATTTTTGTAGGAAAGTCAACCCTTATATCTTATATAATTTATATGGGAGTATTGAAAAAGAAACATTTTGTATTGAGCTTATTTTGAAAAGTATTGGTAGAATTTTGATGGAAATTATTTCTTTAGCTTTGTTTCTACCTTTTTCTTTGTCAAATATATTTGACCTTCTCCCATTTCCTGTTACTTACATATTTTCAAATTAAATTTATTTGATTGATTCTGTGAATAGTGAGATATAGCAGTAAATATATGTGAAAAGAATTAAAACATATTAGACTGTATTATTAATAACTAGTAATACCCATGAAAATTTCATGGTTTTCTTAATTTTCTGAGAAATGTTCATTAATGAATAAATAAGCTTATAGCAATTTCTATGACAATAAAATATCCATAGAAATTTCCTGATTGCATGGTT